CCCACAGCCTTTCGTCTGCTGCTTTTCCTTCCCAACATCTGACTCACCTGCTTTATTTTTACCTCTCTTTAATATGACAACAGATTTACTCCTGCGCATGACCGCGTATTCCTAAAGGCATCCGCCAACTGAGAGGTAAATAAAACTTTGGAGAGAAGTATTTATAGATCCGTGGTGTACATTGTGATACCACGGCACAGGCACAAATAGGGCGGTCCAAGGGATGGCGGTGATTCAGCGGAGCATCACCCAGAATCAGTTCTGCCTGACGCCTAATCCCGCAATGCCATCCTGGTGCTGACACATTCTTGCCTCTTATGTGACAAGAAATTGTAATTGCTGGGTTATATGGGCATGACCTGCATGGAGAAATGGGAAGGAATCCTGGGGTTCACCCGTGATTCAGGGGAAAACCCACTGGGAACGTGCACCTCCAGCACAGCAGGATGGATTGTGTGGTTTTTCTTAAGCTACAGTCCCATCCCTGTGTATTTCCACAGGAGCTGCAGAAATCTTGTGGCTGAGTGCTGGAAGTGGGACAGCAGCACTAGAAAGGCTCTGTCCCAGCTAAAAGTTCATGGGTCACCTTCAATATCATGAAGCTGAAGATCTTCAGCCTTGCTACAGAGGTGGGAACGTGACCCACCTCATTACCACCTCAACTAGTAAATGTTTCCCCAAATTAAAATAAAGGTGTTTCATTTAAAGTGCTGGGAGATAATAGGAGTGAATTAAAGAAGGACAAAGGGAACCTGGAGTGAAAAGTAATTGCTCCTATGGGAAGATGAGCGGGATCTAAGACCAACGGGTGAACCTCAAACCATTGTGCTCTGGGGTTTGGTATCACTGCCATTAGCACAGTGCTGCACATTTATGCAATGCCAACACATATAGCAAGAGAAAAAAAAAAAAGAAATATCACAGTTAGGACATTCCATAAAGACAGCTTGAAATTAGAAATAATAATTAGAAATAAGGAACTTCTTAGGGCTAATTCCAAATGTCTCATTAACGTTTCCGGTTCCATTGAGCAATTCAGTGAGAATATTCCTGCACTAAGCGTAATCCCCATGAGCTGCCACTCATAATCAGTTTTCTTTCACATGGACACGCGATCACGTTTGGCTCTTGTCCCATGTGACATCCCAGCACAGCTTGAAGAAATGATGCTTCTGCATTACGAACGTCGCTTCCGCTGGATGCTCGCAGCCCATGACCTGATCTATTAGGATCTCCAGCACTGGCGTCACTTTGCACGAAATACCTTCCAATCTCTTTCATAGGGAGGTGAAGGAATTAAGGCACTATTAATAACCCATGGGACAATTAGAATGCTAAAAGCACAGTGCATCAAAGGGAAAATGTCGGAAGCTGAATACAGCGGATAGAAATGGGCTGGGATGTGTAATTATGCTGCACTTGCCAAGAGATGTCTCATGTCCCAGATAACCCTGTGGAAGAGTATAAAAGCTCTTTCACCCTGGTTTTCCTCATCTGCTCCTCTGCTCCCATACATCTCCATTCCTGTTGCTGAAAGGGTGAGTCTGTTTTTCTGTTTCTCCTATGTTTCTCTATGAAACCATCTGCTTCCATACAAGCTTTGGTAGAATTGGAGCACAGTACCAACTCCTTCACTCTGGACCATGGTCATGGTAGAGACCAAGTTGTTGTAACCCACATAAGCTGTTTTATTAACGAAAATGACAAGGGGAATATAGATTTGCAGGTACAGGCACAAAAAAAAAAAAAAGAAAAAAAGATGGAGAAGGACAGAGAAAGAACTTCATGAAAAATACTTGCAAAGTTTTTGAGGACAAAAGCACTGGAGGGTCTAGAGCTGCCTATGGGCTGTGCACATGCGGTGTAATCTTTTCACTAATATCTGTTAAATGTCATGTAAATAATGCAGAAGGGATGGAAATCACCTCCCAGTATCTAAGCAATATTGAAATCTTCTTATTCATGAGGATCAAGAAATCGAGAAAACAGGGAATTCCAGAGCAAATTAGGGAAAGCAGGGGCTGCTGTACCAGCATGACGTCTTTCTTTATCTTCCTACAGCTTTGCCAACACTCCATAAAGATGTGCTCCCGCGGGTCCTCCTGCCACAGCCACGAGACCTCCTGCCACGGCTCCCGCTCCTCCTGCCACGACTCGGAGCCCTCCTGCCATTACACCATCCAGAGGGTCCCCGTGCCCAAGTACACCTATGTGACACCGTGCTGCCCCCCCGGTGCAGACCTTCTGCCCCCCAGTGCAGCGTTACTGCCCCCCGGTGCAGCGTTACTGCCCACCCACCCCCTATTGCCCCCAGTACACCAAGAACATCTGCAAGCTGCCATCATCATTCCCCAAATATTAGCTGCGCCGGCTGCCTGCTGCTCTTGATGCCCAACGCACGAACCGCCAGATTCCCATTTGGAAACCTCAAATCCCATTTGGAGTGAATCCTTGAATCCTTCTGCTGTGATTAGAATTGCCTTCAAAATGTAAATTTTATCTGTTTCGATGTATTTAGCAAGAAACATCCCGTCTTTGTTCTTCTCCTGAAGGCTGGGAACGGCTTCTCCTGCTAGCACCTGACTTAATGATGTGTCATCCTCCAACCATGTAGACGAGCTAATAAAATCTCATTGCCCCAAACAGAAGAAGTTTGATTTGTTGACTCTTTGACATCTTTACCTAAGAATTATCTTTACTTTTCAGCGTGTTTTCAGCACGGTTTCTTGCTCTTCTCTGCCCACACATCACCAAATGCCCACATGCCAACGTTTAAAAATGAGTGAGAGCCATTCATCCCAACCACATTCCTGCAGCAGCTGCATGGTTCACATGCAGCACACAGAGAGCTCTCCTACACCCTGCCTGGCACTGTCTGTCCCTGTTCCCTAACTCAGCAGTGCAGCATGCTTCATTTCTTAATCTGACTCAGAATTACAAAGGGTTTGAGGTGTCTAATAAATGCAAATAGGCACCTAGAGGACTTCTCTAACCCTCCTTCTTTCACTGGACTGCAAATTACTATTTTCAGCAAATGCTGCACACTGAATTAAACGCCAAACCTCTCTTTGCTTTCACAAGCTAAGTTAATCCTTATCTCGCAGACGCCAGCCCATCTAGCTGAGATGTCTGTTTCAGAACAGGATGGCTCACTTCCTTCTGCCGGTTCCTCCGCATCGGTGTCACAAAGAGCTCGACAATTAATTTCTTCTTTTGCAGCTGATTTCTGGTAGCCGTGCTGGGGTGAAGTGATAGCACCCAATAGTGACAGCAGAGTCCTCCCTAAATACACCTCTTCATCAACCTTGCTGAACCATTTCTATATTGCTTACAACTCCTGGGTTGTTCAGAGGGCTGCAGGTGAGCTTCTCTTTATCCAAGGCTAGCTTAATTTTTTTGCTTGAGAAATCAAGAAGTAAAATAAATCTAACCAGAATATGAAGGCATATTGCCCTGGGGTGAAGTTAGCATGATTTAGCATCTCACAAAAGATGGCTATTCTGCCAGATTTTTTCCTTAATTTATCATGAAAGCAAACCTCAAATGATATCTCTGTCAGGATAACTGATGCCACATGAGCTCAGTGAGCAACTTTTCAGACCCTCCTGTTCTACCTGCAGGAGCACTGATCCAAGGATTGTTCCCTGAGGGTCCTGCAGCTCCCACCTGGATAATAATTGCAGTATAGGAATGAAAACACATTTTATTGCCTTGAAGTCAAGTTGCAGAGCTCTGTAAGAGAAAAGGTGAAACGCTGCAGTGAGTAAAAACTACTGAATTGTTCAAGTAAATCAGGAGCCCGATGTGATTTGGGATCTGAAAATAGGATGCGAGTTGGCTAGTAGCTGGCTTAATGGCTGGGATCTGATATCCTCGCCTTCTAGGGGGGTGTAAGTAGAACAGCATGATGGCACAAGGGAATGACAGCAAATCGCTGGTGAACTCACGAGTGGAATGAAAAAACCGGAATTGGGAGCATCCTTCTAACGTCAGCTCCAGTGTTCAGGCATCAGGCGCGCTTGGGCCAGTCAGCAGGACTTCCCTCTAAGGATGGTCCGTGTGAGTTGCAGCTGTTAATTAATGTCCCTCGTGTCACGACAGATGTATCAGCAAAAATGTGAGGGTGCCACACCGACCAAGGGGCAGCGGGCAGGGTAGGAGTCAACGCTTTGAACTGCTTGTTGATGCAACGCTGGTTGCCCAATGACAAATCACTCTTTAACTCCTGGGTTAGGTTCGTTCATAATGTATAAATATTTAACTGCCTACAAAATCCTCTTATGAAGCAGGTTAGGAAATCCACTGCCTATTAACTTGTTAAGGGAAAAATAATAATTGGTTTTCCTGACCTTGTCAAATCGGAAATGCTAAAAAAAAGACACAAGATAAGTAAGAACATGGTTGATTGTCAGCATTGCCAAAGGATGCATAATCTCTTGGACAAGCCCATTGGGAGCATATAAAAGTTCATATCCACTGCTGTTCCTTCATTCAGCTTCACTTCTCAGCGCTCTTCCCTCGTCCTGCAAAGGGTAAGTTGGGTTATATTGAATTATCTAACACTTGGAATCAGAAATCACACTGGATTTTGGCTGACTGGTTCTGTGTTCAGACCTTGCCTTTCTTGTTTGTAGTCTGTGACTGGGTACCTTTGGGATCTAGCATGGAATTAATTCCCAAACTCCTTGGAAATGGAGGGAGAAACATAACAACTAAATCACTGCTGAGTACCAGTTGTAAATTTCAATCTTCAAATCAGCAGTATCTTGCTAGGAAAATTTCCACCAGAGTGGGGCCACTGTCGAGTATCCCCAGAAGGACACAGGATCCATTTCGGAGTTAGGATCTCCTACATGTTACAAAGAAGAGGAGAATGAACTTCCCCAGAATAACCCAGAAAAAATACACAAGGAAGAATGCAGCAATTTAGAGGGGAGCTGCTGTACCAGCATGACATCTCTCTCTTCTTCTTCCTACAGCTTTGCCAACACTCCATAAAGATGTGCTCCCGCGGGTCCTCCTGCCACAGCCACGAGACCTCCTGCCACGGCTCCCGCTCCTCCTGCCACGACTCGGAGCCCTCCTGCCATTACACCATCCAGAGGGTCCCCGTGCCCAAGTACACCTACGTGACACCGTGCTGCCCCCCGGTGCAGACCTTCTGCCCCCCAGTGCAGCGCTATTGCCCCCCTGTGCAGCCCTGCTGTCCCCCGCTGAAGACCTACTGCCCACCCATCCCGTACTGCCCCCAGTACACCAAGAACATCTGCAAGCTGCCACCATCATGCCCCAAATACTAGCTGCACGATCCAGCCATGCTCCACAACCACTGGCTGCCTCCTCCTTGGACACCATGGCCATCGGTTGACGCATCGCTATGGACATCCCAGGGTCTCTGCTCTCTGCCTCATCCCTGCTGTGTATAATGTGCTCTCCCAGTCATCTTACAAGGATTCGCTCTTTCCAATGACTCGGGAAATGTTCTCTTCGTGTGTTCAGTGCATAATTATAATTGGGAACCTTTTCATGCCTTGCATTTCTGTTTAAGACTCATCCAGCTGTGGGAAACAATAAAGCTTACAATTAATTTGACTCGTATTCTCCTTTCATTTCCTTATTCACTTTTCAGGCTCTTGGATTACTCCCTTGCCACCATTGTCAGTGTCCAACAACAATTTCTGGGTACATCTGGGGAGAAAAGAGTCACATTAGTAGAGAAAATAAGTCCTCATCTACCAAAGCTCCATGTAGATCTCGAGGACAGAGCACCACAAAGCTTCCCTTCCTACCACCAACCCACCAGCTATTCTGCAGAGGTTCTTCATCCAACTGTCTTGGAAACAACAAAAATAAAAGACTATTGACTGCAAATTGAATGTTAGTTTCTGGGGACATGCACAGTTCGTTCTATGAAAGGGTAATAAATGATTCACAGTTGCTATTCTTCTTAGTCAATACATGCAAATAATGTCCTCCAAGATCAGCTGTTCAACTTGCCCATATCAGTGCTTTCAAATATCTCAGTATCTCTGTAAAGCTGAGAAAACAGAGGTCATGAATTTTTCCTCCCCACACCAGCGCTGTTTGTTGCCAACACATCCTTTGGAATGGAGAAATGGCCAAGCTCCAAGAAGGTCAGTTTTGTCTAAGATTCAGGTACATCAGCATAGCACCAATCCTAGCACTGTGATTTCTCTCTTACTGAGAAATCATCACTCAAATCCTGCTGAATGTATCCAGGCGTGTGTCAACATCCACATCACTCAAAAATCAGCATTTCCTCACTCTAGGTTGGGCTTTCCTGCTGTACTCCTCTGGAACAGCTGCACATAGTGGATGTGAAACCTTCAGAATGATATTTTCAATCGCAGGCCCTGATAATGAAAGATTCAGAAACATTTGTAAGCAGTGGAACCTGAAGAAGCCCCACTGGGAAATCTGTGGAAGACGTGGAAAGAGTTGAGGGGATGTTGATGCGATGCTGCTGGAGGACAGCAAGAACAAGGATAGGAGCAGGATGGGTGCAGACAGTGGGAAAGCACCAATTTCATCACCTGGGCAGGCTCTGTTTTCTTCAGTGATGGAATTGCTATGATAGATTGGTAGCTGACACTGCAGGTCTTGGAGGTCTTTTCTAGCCTAAATGCTTCCATGATTCCATGACTTGCTTTTGATGTCATTTCCTCTTGACGTTAAACAACAGGTAAATTAAAATCCTGAGCTGTCACTTGGACACAGCAGTTAGCCTGCTACAGGAGTCAGCATTTCTGAGCCGTAATGACATCTCTGCCCCTGATGCAATCCCAGGTGCCCAGTGGCACGCTAATTAACATCTATCAGATTACTGTCAGTCTGCAGGAAACAGGAAAAATACCACTTCCCAGATCTTCATGGGGAATTCGTTAGGAGTAAAATACGGGAGAGAATATCACGCGTCAAAGAGGAAGGGCTAAGACTAGGGCAGCACCGACACGTGCCATACTGAGAGCGTGAATAATCCCACTGCCATTGCACAGCGGTGCCTCATGCCCAAGATCACCTTTCAGAGCTACATAAAAGCCTGCTCAGCCCAGACCTCCTCACTTGCCATCCCTTCCTGACTCTTCTCCTGTTGCTGCAGAGGTAAGGATGCTTCTCCTTTTCATTCTGGCTCCGTGTTGCTATATGAAGGCTCTGGGGTGGGAAATGGGCTTTGGGAGAGGATGGTGGGGCTCTCTGTGTTGAACTGAAGGTCTGGGCTTTGTGCAGGAATGCACAAAGCAAGATGAGGAGAGGGTGAGGCAGACCCTCCTTATGAGGAGCAGCTGAGGGAGCTGGGGTTGTTCAGTCTAGAGAAGAGGAGGCTCAGGGGAGACCTCATTGCACTGTACAACTTCCTGAAGGGAGGTTGTGGTGAAGAGGGATTTGGCCTCTTCTCCCAGGCAATGAGCAGCACACGGGGCAATGGCCGCAAGTTGTATCAGAGGAGGTTGAGGTTGGACATAAGGAAGAACTTTTTCTCTCAGAGGGTGGTCAGGACTGCAATGGCTGCCCAGGGGGGTGGAGGAGGTGCCATCCCTGGCAGTGCTCAAGAGGCGTCTGGATGAGGAGCTGTGTGATGTGGTTTGGTGCTGGTGGTGGCTGTGGTGATGAGGAGACGGTTGGACTGGATGATCTTACAGGTCGTTTCCAACCTTGTGATTCTATGATTCTATGACCCAAGTGGGATAGAGTTGGAAGAAACAAAGAATTCAATAAGGAGATCAATAATAATAATAATTTTAATAAGAAAGAAAGAAGTGGGTGAGGGTGGGAGAGAAGCATGCCTGGGTGTCTTCTCATAGCCGTAATCTCCTGATCCCAGCAGCTTTGCCAACACTCCATAAAGATGTGCTCCCGCGGGTCCTCCTGCCACAGCCACGAGACCTCCTGCCACGGCTCCCGCTCCTCCTGCCACGACTCGGAGCCCTCCTGCCATTACACCATCCAGAGGGTCCCTGTGCCCAAGTACACCTATGTGACACCGTGCTGCCCCCCGGTGCAGACCTTCTGCCCCCCAGTGCAGCGCTATTGCCCCCCTGTGCAGCCCTGCTGCCCCCCAGTGAAGCGCTATTGCCCCCCACTGCAGCCCTGCTGCCCCCCAGTGAAGACCTACTGCCCACCCATCCCTTACTGCCCTCAGTACACCAAGAACATCTGCAAGCTGCCTCCACCGTGCCCCAAGTTCTAACAGCAGGATCCGGCCGTGCACCTGGCTCTGCAACCCACGGACACCTTCCTGCTCAACGCACTGACCTCATCCCCAGCGTTCATTGCTTATCAGCCACACTGCTTCTCCATAAGGAAATGCTTTCAAAGCAGGTGGAGGGCCATGCAATATCGGGGTGCACAACCTCTGGTTCATTACCTGTTTGAGCTCTTTCCACCAGTGCAACGCACGGTGTTTGCTGCCAGTAGTTTCCTTCTTGCTTTGCTGCTCCCATCTTCAGCCAAGAAATAAAAGCTGGATTTCAACCATTCTGGAGGTGTTTAGTCACTATTCTGTCCTATTGAATTCGTGGGTTTTGAGCTGTGTTTTAATCACTGGTGGACTCAGCCATAGCGTGAGGAGCACCAATGAGGGGTGGAAGTTGGGGAAATGCTCACAGCACTGCACAGAGGGGCTGCAAGAACTGCACTGGGTCAATTCTGGGTAAAAACTGAGTGTTTGCATTAAGCAGATGCAGTGAGGGTGTAAGAGTTACAGCCAGGGGCTTTCCCTGCCCAGCCACGTTGGCTCTCCACATGGGATCTTTAAAAGGTGCTGCTATATTTGGAAACAAAACAAAGCAAATCCTGCAGGGACATTAACTGCACCTTGGAACACCCTCAATTAAATGTTTTCTACAGTGTAAAATGAGCAAAGGTTTCCCAAGCATGATTCATCCATCCTGGGGCAAGCAAAGCTGGGTGAGCTGCACGCTAAAATCCCCAGTAAATAACCAGTTGGTGCAGAAGTAATCGGAAATAGTTCTCTGTAAGTTAGAGAAATTTGTCATTATGGAGGAACAGCCTATTTAAAAGGAAAAGCTGCCAATTGAAGACAGAGGGCAATTAATTACAGAGTTGAAATCCTTCTTGTTACCATTACTAAGAGGTGGCTCACTTTCAACTGGTGGGAAACGCATTAAAAACTCCTTCCCTTCTGCATTCCTCACTTCTCCCAAATCAGGTGTGTTGGGTCATCAATAATTGGGATGGCTCCAATAAGGTGCTGGGTCAATAACTGGGATGGCTCCAATAAGGTGTTGGGTCAATAACTGGGATGACTCCAATTGAATGTTGGGTCAATAACTGGGATGGCTCCAATTGGGTGTTGGCTTTTATTGCTCACGAGTGGTTTTGTCTTCAGGTACATGCATTCACTTTCCTTTCATGCCCCAGGCTTTCAACTTTCTATTTCGTGATTAATCACAGCCCTTTCTGCTTCCTGCTCTAGTCCCACAAAGGACTCACAGCTCTAACTGGGTTACATTTTCCTCTATGCTTAAGCCTGAAGTTTTGTTAACTTCCGGATGAGAAGTTGCAGACATAACAGGAAACAAGAATGAAAGTTTTGTCAGCTTCATCACCTGCAAAGATCAAGCACTGGGTGGATGTTTTGCATCAGTATAACAAATAAAAATGATAACAAAAATCCAAGACCATAAGAATTTGCAAAGGGAAGAAGTTCTCCATGCCCAATGCTTTAGATAGCTTAGAAAACAGTTCTGCTCCACTGCATCCAACAGCTTAATAGCAGATTTCCACAACCAGGATGAACTATTAGCAAAGCCCTGAAGGTTTAATGAGGGGGAATTTACATTAGTTGTTACATGGCAATGATTGCTTCACCGCATTCATAATTCACAAACAAAATAAACATCACTGCCTTACTCCGAGCATCTTACGTAGGTCTCTGTGTTTGTTCACTAAGCCTAAAAGGTAATGGGGATTATTATTATTTTTTTTTTCTTCCAGTTTGTAGCGAGGGATTGGGGAATTGTTTTCTGGTCCTCAGGTTCTCTGACCATTCCTCACAGATGGCTTCAGGCACAGCTGCTGTGCTCAGCCAGCTCCATCAGCAGCACTGCTTTCCCAACCTACCAGCACAGGGGATGAAGCAGTGCATCACATCCATACAAAGCCCCACAGAAATCTGCCTCTCTTTCATCAACATCTGTCCTATCACACTGCTCACTCTGTCCCCATCTGCAATGTTGCAGGGCACCCTCCTGCTTCCCTGCAGCTCACCAGTCCTCTCCTGGCCATCCCCTGGGTTGCCCTCCCTTTCTTATCAGCT